GAGAGAGAGAGAGAGACAAGAGGGGGAATCTAATTTAATAGATTTATACATATTTATTAATGCGGAGCGCGCGCGCGCGAGACTACGAGATTAATCTCCTAATCGGGACTTAGCGTTCCATGAATGGACTCGATACACGCTTGCCTTACAGGGCACACAAGGGTTCGAGCCTTTTCACAGCCTCTTCCTTTCGACTGGTCGGGACCGCAACCTCTTAACGAACTTTGAAAGGATTCGATTATTGAGCCAAACGCACGAAAGATAGTCGCGTTTCGCGTAACACATCACGTTTAAAAGGAAAGACGGTGCGGTCTAAATTGATTCTAAGCAGAATGATCTGTGCGTGTATGTGTGTATGCTACATGTGCTGTATCCGCGTGATGCAATAAGAATATATTAACCTCTCAATCTTCTTGAAGGAAAAGAGGAGAGACTCCTCAAGGTTTTTTCTTCGTGGATGAATCAGGTGGTAGTCAGTTTCATAAATTAAATTGCTTATTACATGTTTATTTTTATACATGTAAAAAAAGCCACGTTTACGCGACTGTTTTGGTGATCTTTTTTCTGCGTTACGACGCGCCAACACAAGAGCGGTCTAATCGGGTGATCTAATTTAATTCGAACAATCTCGCGCAACTTGAACAATCAGAAATTCAATTGCCACCTTGATCGTTCTTCATTTCTCGACTTTGCATCCGTTACTAATATAGTTATCTTAATCTCTTCAAATTACATGTACAAGTAAAACGAGATTTATATATCATATATTTAAGTATAAAGTAATAAGAAAGAGTATTGATTTTTACGATATGCTTTATGAAACGTATGTTTTTTATTTCCCTTTTTTTAAATTATATATTACCGTAAAATTAATGTCTAATGGATGTTGCAATCTGAGGCCAGAATCAAAACAGATTTGATTTTGAAGATGATACGTGACATTAAAAAGAGGACAATAAATTTTTTCAAACTTTACTTATCAAACTTAACTTCGATATTGATAAAAATAGGTCATTCCATCGATATGCGTATGATAGGCTTCTTTCAGCGATGACGACACATCTCTCTATTTTTATTATGCTAAAAATTCAAGTATGTATTTATCTTTATTCTGCATAATCTGAATAAAAATTACATAAAAATAATATAACCCAAATTAATAAACGTATGGATTCGGCTTTTTAGATATTAAAACGATATTCAAACAATGTTTGAATAATATTCATAAATTTGAATAAAAAATACAAATTGTATATTATCAATATGTGTAATTATCTTTTACAAAAATGTAATGTCACAGGTAATAAATCTGTATTAATATTTGGATATTTATAATCTTGACGTCGATAATTGATACAGGAAACTGATTTGCATCTCAGCAAAATTCACATGAATTTTAGATTTACATCATTTTCAAGGTAAACGACTCACCTGTTGAGATAGTGGCAACATTTACATTACTGATTACAGTAAAACATATGAGAGAAAAAGATTATCTCGATGAAATATGTATTTTGAAAAAAAAATTGAAAAACTTGACTAAATGTGTTTAGTCGTAGTGATTTCTTTAGTTCAACTATTTATATGCTTAATTAAAATATATCTGAATAATGTCAATAAAATATTTTTGTGAATTAACAAAATATATCGCTTACTATATCTGATTTGTCTGATAGTGTCTGATCGCATATTTTTGAATTAAATAACATTTCTTTGAATCAACAATTTTTTCAGTATAATTTTAAAGTAACATTTACAAGTACATTTAGTTTTTATTTCTCTTTTATCCGATAAGAAAATGAAAAATAATTAACAGATTAAAAAGATAATTAAGAAATAATTAAATAGATCCTATGGGACAATAAACAGATGTAATATATTTGTGACAAAAGCAATATAACGCATTATTGAAATATGCATTTCTGAAATATGTACAAGTTGCATAAACGGAATATAAAACATCACGACTTCCGCTATCATCGTCAACTTCGCGAAACAATTTGTGGTGTCACGCAATTTCCTTGCAAATATGATAAAACTAAGAAAGAACGAGGAAAAATAAATGTGTTTTAAAATATCGTCAGCTTATCTATTCTCTTTAAAAATGTTATCATTTTTGATAAAACTCAAATATTTTACTAGAAATCATCAAAAATCAAAGATCACGATAATGATAAAATCATTCAATTTATTATCTTTGGTTCGCAATAAGATAAAAAAAGGATAAATCAATCAGAAATTTATAAATCATATTCTATCATAAATTATTATATTTATACATTTATTTATAGATAATTATTATACTTTTATTATATTATATTTTTCTCTCTCTAAATTTTTCACTTCTCCAAAAAAAATAGTATGTTTATCAGCATTGTATTTGAGTAAAAGAAGTATTCAAGTTCACAAAACAAAGTTTACATAATATTTGTGCTTATCTCATTGTATTCCGGACAAATAGCAATCAGAATAACACAAGTGCAGTACCTCGTGATGAGGTACATTTTAACAAAAGTTGACGTATGCCGCAGTTTCGTCAGATAAGGCGCCGTATCGTCTCTCCAGATCGCGAAACTGTGTCATCGCGGTGCCGCGAGACGATATCGATCGAATTCGATGCCGATTCTATACAACGTGTTTACAGGGTAAATGTTCGCGAGAGATGTACTACATTTCCGCGAAACATCGCGTGTGCTGCGTGAAATCCATCCGTCATGCTGCTATTATGATGAGGACTGATAACGCTGAGAAAAGTGAAGTGCTTTCTCTCTTCCCAAGTGAAATCACGTGTATTTAGGTTTCAAATCTCGCGCTGGCTCGAGTGCTAATCTATTAACACATTCGAACAGTATTATCTTCCATTTCTTGCCAACATTATTTATACGCTTGTACTGCTCCCCCTCGTTAATGCTATCATTAATCCACGTAAGACCATATGGGGACGTATGGATTGTCGCGATTTAATTATGTAGAACAAAACGGGAATATCTGTTTAGAATGCAAAAGTTTAAGGAATTTTTGCGAATGTCGAATACATTTCTATATCGCGTGACGCGATATACATTTATTTGCATTTATTAGCTGCGTTAAATGTAGAAACTATCCGCCTCCAGTTTTCTGTACTTGCTAGCTTGATTCTTGATCTTTACATAAAAATGCGGCTTTTTGAAACTTGACATGAATTCCAAATGACTAGGACTCTCGCGACTTCACTCCTGAAAATTTAACAAACTTTTAAATATTTAGTACGCAAAATATAGGCGTACAAATACTCTGTACAAATACTCTGAAAAATTCAAGTGTTGTGTCAAGAATTTCCTTTCCTGAGTAAAGAATTTTAAGTAACATCAGAGTGTCTGTTTAAAAAAAAATTCCGAAAAAAAATTCTTTGAAAAATCCCTGATTTTCAAGAGAATTTGCTCCAATTTGCAGAAATTTTAGGTAAAATAAAAAAAAGTATTTTTACATTTTTATCTTACGAATAAATATGTATTTATTATTCAAAGTCTTTAAATCTTTTCCATTCATAAAAATTTGTAAAACGTAAAATAAAATGAAGAATCATTCGAGTTTCAATAGATCAATTAGATTTTAAAAGAAAATTTTGAAAAAAAATTTTGAAAGAAAATTTATTAATAGATTTCAACTTATAAGTTGAATATTTATATCATTTAATATTTATTTATAAAGAAAAGTTTTTTTTTATGTTTTAATAAGAGTTATGTTTTAATAATATTATATTATATTATATTATATTATATTATAAACTATAAGGACTCTAAAAAATAAATGTTGCATAAATTTTCAAACACTTTATTTTCAAAAGCTACAAGCCAAAGATTGCATAATGCATAATCGATATAATGCATAATCGACATAAAATTCAACATTTATAAAAACATTTATTAAAACAAATATCCGTCTTTATTAAACAAAACAGCACCCAACATAAAATCGTTGTCTTCTATACTGAATGACTACTTGGATTAGTTGTAAAAATCAGTATGCTCTGATGTTTAGAGTGAATAGATCCATTGTTATCGTTAACAATTCAATCGGTAAACTTTCGATTATAATATAAAGATAAAATATTAGAAAAAGCAATTTCAAAAAGTTCTCTAATTTTCAATAAAATTCTTTGAGACTTGCTTATTTTTTTAAATAACAAATTCCCATAAATAAATTCTCTGAGAATTCCAGATTTTCCAACTTCTTCCAGAATAGATATTCTGAATACCAAACAAAGATTAAGCCTACCATTAGAACTCTCGCAACATAAATTAAGCGGAGGGATTCCATTAAAACGTGTTGCTCCGGAATGTATAACGTCAAGAGTTAAAATCCGATGTACTTTCGAAATGAGGTAATGAGCACTCTCTCTCTCTCTCTCTCTCTCTC